TCTTTTTCGGAGATGACCAGGCGGGATAGTGGAAGCGGGACTTCGGTCATCCCAGGGTTGAGTGACCGAAAAACATTTTCTGGGAGGAAGGGAGTTAATGAATAACGAACTCGAAGAATCGAGCGTTTATCTAATGATTCCAATTCTGAAGTACCTCGCCCTTTCACAAAAGCGAAGCAGGAAATCTAGTGCTCGTGGTTTTGGTTTGGATGTTTATAAAAGCGATTATTTTTCATGGATGAGGTCGTTTAATTCTGTTTTGAACTTACTTCTATTGTTGTGCTGGCCATCTTCTTTCGTTATTGTGATGGAATAATGATATTAAAAAGAGGGGTTTATTAAAATTTAAGAGTCATTAGACATGTTATTGAAGAGAATTCACTGAGCTTTAAAAGGATATTGCTTTCTTTAAATAATAAATTAAAAATAGAACATTAAAATGAGTTTAAGTAAATAATCGTAAGAGCTTTTGGCAATGCTTATCCTAATATTAAATATTTTCACATAATTTAGACATGGAATATAGAGTTTTTATTTCTGTAAAGCAGCGTTTCTCAAACTGTGGGTCACCCCCTCCCTAGGGGGCATGATAATTCTATGAGGTAGGCACGAGCATATTGAAAACTCGAAAACAAAAGATTATTTCGATTATTTTTTATTTTTTAAAAAAATTATTAATTTACTGAAAGTAAACAAACAAAATACATTCTGACATGAATTATAAAAAATACACATTTACAGAAGTCTAGTACACTTATAAATGTATCAATGCTGCACAATGTATTTGATAATTAATTTAACAATACTAAGTTAAGAACAAGTTTAATGATTACCAGTTGCACCATGGACTTGTCCACACACACACACACACACACACATTAAAATACATACAAAAATTAACACTTAATCTTAATAATTTGTACGGTTTATCAGTGCCGGTCGATCCACTGGGCACTTGGGGGTGGGCACCCAGGGGCCATAGATGAGCTGGTTTTAAACAGATTTTCTGGTTATAAATTTCAATCCTCCAGTCCTTAGGTGCGCGTATGTGATTTTATTTTTTGGGGGGAGGGGATGAAAAGGAATAAATAAATAAAACCTTTTCTGAAATAAGTAAATTTTTCTCAAACATTATTGCATTCCAAAGCCTTCGGAATAGTTTTATGGGTAGCAGTGCACAGAAAAGATCGTACTTCAGAAAGTTGTATATATACATCCGGGGCATTTAACGCTTCTGTTGAGCGATTCGTATATATACATCGGTACCAGTTATAATATTATTTAATTCAATACATTGTTATTGTATGGAAGGGGCGCGATGAAAATTATATATGATTGAAAATTGGGTCGCAAATAATGAAAGTTTGAGAAACACTGCTGTAAAGGGTATCCCGTTTCTTAATTCTTGATAAGGTCTTGTCATTTACATGTACCATCAGTGGTATATACGAGGGGGATGGGTTGAGGGCTTAACCCCCATATACCAAAACTTTTTAAATTTTTATTATAGAAATACTCTTTGGTGCCTTCATCTACATGCAGTTTGGGGACTGTGGTAGCCTATTGGTCAAGGTCACAGACTCATGGTTGTGATGTGTAGTGAGTTCGAGCCTAGTACCGCTGAAGCCGCGCCATGAATATTAACTGCACGTTAAATATGTCGAGGCTAAAACATCTTCCTGTTGATGTGGTGTACATTTCAGGAGAAGGGGGTGCAAGATCTGGCATCATCCTCATCACCTGTTCAAAATTACTAGGTCCGACGCCAATAACCATCGTATACCTTTATAGTGCGACTTAAATGTAACTCTCTCTCATACTACGCGCTTTTTAGAATGAAAATCCCCCCAAAAGAGAGGTCTGCGTACTCCACTGCTTATCGTAAATCCCCAAAATATGTCCCTGATGCTTTAAAAAAAAGCATCCTTTCCCTTAACCTTTTCTTTTTTTATCACTGAAAGCAAACTTCACGTGAATTCATGATTACTTGTTTCATTCAATTTATATACTACTAGCTGGTATGCCCGTTCTTCGCACGGATGAATTGAAAAATTAAACAATACAGATTGCAGAATAAAGATATTTTTAATGAGTTAATTTTAAGTGAATTGCAAATTAAACAAACAAAAAAGCTTTTTGCATATCTCAGTTGAACAAAGAAACTATATTTGTTAAATTTTAAGCCTGAAGATCTAATAGCTGATAAAAAGGATTTTTTTAAAAATTTTTTCCGCCCCGTAACTCTCTTATGGGTCGATTTTTGAAAACTCCTTCCTAAGCTAATCTCTGTTTAGCAAAAGTAACACATTGTTACAAATTTTATGTACTGGACGCTTAAAATAGAGTAAATAATTTATATCTGTATGTTTAATACGTTAATATTACTTTCTGTTGTATTTATTTTATGTTAAAATTAGAATATTCGCAAGCAACACCGTTCCTTTCATTACAACGGCGATTCAATGGAAACATAGCGAAATGTTTGTGATAGAGCTAAGTTGGCATCATTTTTGGAGGCCACGTTGGCAACTTAGCGATTGATTGATAGGTGCTGAAGTTGCTTTGCTGTAGCGCCATCTGATGTGGAGCTGCAACAAAGAGAATAGCACAAAAACCTTCTCCACAAAAAATGCATATACATGCCAATTTTTATAGTGATCAGTTGAACGGTGTTAGAGTGAAGCGAGGTCATTTATAAAAATATCCATTTTACAAGCTTTTATTTAACTTACAATGCATGTATGTATGTATGTAATTTGTTCGGGTGGAATCTTGCAACTCAATTTTGAAGCTGATATCTTCAACCCATTGAGCCCCAACCCAAATTTTGTATACACGTTTAGATTGGATGACAATGCATGTTTTGACCATTTATATTCGAATATTGCTATTAATTAAAAACGTTAAAAACTAGTTTTGGGTGCCAACTTCGATATGTCTGCATTGTTGTAATAATGTTATTGTTACAACAATGACAAAAGTTTGCGTCAAAAATCGGTTTTGAGCCAAACTGGAATTTTATAACTTTGCTCTTTTGACTGTATTAATTAACTTTGTCTAAAAAAATTACATTTCTACGACGTAAAAATAATCTAATTTCTACAATGTATGCAATTTTTTTACACATTTCTATCTATTTTCTTGGATTTAAATTCAAAAGAAAAAAAGTAGAGCTTTTTTCAAGTAGATTGGTGCATTGTATACCTTTCTCAACGCTGCCAACGCTGAGATAGGGTATTGTAGAAATTCTTTAAAAATTTATCTAACTTTAATCTATGAACTCAGATAAAAAATAATTACAGAATCGGAAAGATCATTCATTTCTTCCCGATACGGTATAATGTTTTTTACAAAATGCTAATATTTGTATTTCTTACGATTTTTTTTAATAAGTCAAAATCGATGCGTTTTTATGAAAATAATGACTAAATCGTTGCGCATGATTTTTTTTGTTTAAATGAATCGATATTCCGTTCTAAAGCAGCTCATTGTTTTCTCTTTTAGAATCAGTCATTTAAAAATAAAACGCAGAAAACTTTTTTTTACGATTTTTCAAAAAATACTCAAAATTTTAACTAAACATTTAATAACTTCTTCATTTACCAAGATAATCTCATAAAACTTTATTTTCGTGTGTAGAACAATATTACCCAAGATCTGTACGAAGATTGAAAAAATTGCTTAAAAATTACGGATTTAAGAAAAAAATTGTGTTTTTCGTCTTGTACCTTTTTTACCAGAATTCATTTAGCTAGACTGTTCGAAAATAACCGGCAAACACCTAGCAACAATGGTGCGTTGAATGAGATGAACAGACTGAGAAACGTTACTTATAACGTTATTACACAATTTATATGATATAAAAGCTTCTCACGAGATTTACATCTGCAGATAAACAAGTACATTAAATAACTTGATCTGATTGATTTTAATTTTAAAAAATTTCAAACTAATTAAATAAGAGTACTTTATCTCACGAAGAGCTTTTATATCATATAAATTGTGTAATAACGTTATAAGTTAATAGTAAAAAAGTTTTAAAGCAAAAGTTTATTTTATTCTTTTTAGCTCGTTTAAATAAAAGCTTGTTTTTTTAAAAAAATTTTACTTTTAATTTATTTATATATATGGATTGAAATTATACTATTTCTTGTGTCAAATAATTTTTCTGTACAATATGTGCACTGTTTTAAACCAGTTTAAGTAAAATAGCATTTAAATATAGATTTCACAACTCCCTTTAACTATTCTTTATTTGAAATAGGTGTGGACATATTTTCGATGTTTTATAGAAACAGTCTATATTTATACAAAAATATTTTCTTATTTTTAATCTCAAATAAAAGAAGCTCTTAAGCTTGGAGCTTCCCCCTATTGCGTTGCACGGTATCCTGGTGGTTATGGTCCTGTATTCATGACCGGCGTATCTTGGTCTCGAGCCCTGAGGTCACTGAAGACCGGTCACTTAGAGGAGATGATGCACGTTAGATCTTAAGAGAATCAAAGTCCTCTCGTTGGCGTGGTGGGTTAGTTTGGAGAGGAGGTACCAGCTCAAATAGTCCTTGTGTGTTGGTTTATAGTGCGGTGTGAAGGAAACTCTCTCAATCTGCTTACTGTGAGCATGTATATTTTATGAAAATACTTCTTCCCTCTTCAAACCTAGACAAAAACATCGATTAAGTTGGAATAAAGTGAATTTGAAAATTTAAACAAGTAATTTAAGTCAATTTAAGTCAATCCCTACTTAGGTCAACAATGAAAATTTTTATTTTACTTCTTATTAAATAGTTACAATTAATATAAATGTGTACATACATATGATAGAATCCCAAAATTAAGTGACAAAGTAGAAAGTGATTTTCTTGCAATTTTCCATTTTCCTTTCTATATAGGGTGCTAGACTAGTTTTGTTTGTTTGTTACTATTTATTCAATAATTAAATTTAATTATTCTAATTAAAAAGTATAGTTAAAAATTAATCACATTCTCAGAAATTCGGCCATCCCAGATGGGGCTCGAACCCACGACCTTTGGATTAGAAGTCCAACACGCTATTCATTGTGCTACAGGGACAAAATGAACGATTTTCCTTTCTACATATGCTGTTGGATTATTATTTTTCTTTACTATTTATTCGTTTTTTAAATTTAATTAATGAATTAATATTTGGAAAAAAAAACTGTATTAACATCAAGTGCCAACCATAACAAATTAAAAAAAATGTATTTGAGCTTGAGTGGATGAATAGAAAGTATTTCATTAACGATTGAAAATTTGAACAAGATTATATATATATATATATATATATATATATAGGAGAGAGTGAGCTAATAGAAGGAATTAAAAAAAGATGAAGGTTTCTCAGGAGATATATTTTTCCTTTTATATGTGAGTATTTCTTAAATATATTTTAAACACTTGTATTATGTGAAAAGCCAGAAAATGAACCATAAAAACAAAATATTTTTAGAAATCCGAAGAGAATTGTAATTTTGGGGAAACCTTCACTATCCTTTTCAAATTGATGCACTATTCTAGATTTTGAGGGGAAAGAAGAATTTCCGCAGAATTAACACTACGTTCGAGAGTTTAAAATTGACCCCTTGACAGAATTCTAAGATATTAGAAAGAAAACAATCTTACTTCGGAGTTTTTAAGGAACATTAAGAAACTCTGGAAAAAGACATTACATAGAAAGTTTTAAGTGAAAATTTATCTGTACATATTTATTGGGTTATATGATTTATTTAGAGCCATATCAATCCATGACCCTAACCACCTCATATACCTTAGGCTCCTTTCAACACTTTACATTTATATTATACCAGAGCAGTGCTGGTTTAAGCTCTTTTCGGGCACTGGGCGCAGATGATCTACTGACTCCCTTGGCACTGGTGGATCGAAATTTATATCCAGAAAATTGGATTAAGTTCAGCTTATCCGGGCCCCTGAGTGCCCGCCCCAAGCACCCAATGAATAAGCTGCCACTGTACCAGAGAATATTTGTCAAAACGGTTTAATGGGTCTCTTATTACTTTGGAGATTGTAGCTGGACATGTTAGCTGCCTTTATACATGTAAGACCAAGTCTACACGTTCATGCTGGAACATTCCACATTGAAAGTGGGTAGCAAATTTGTTTAAATTATTTTTTTTTCAGTGTCATTGTAGTCAGTATAGTGTTAATAACTAGAAGAATGTGTGGCGGTATCTAAATAAGCCAGTAACAGCCATCTAATTTAGCCCATTGGTAACCTTGGCTGAAAAGAAAAAAGCAAAACTTCTGATGTGTCGGGGCGCCATCTACCCGCAAGAAAAGCAAGCAAAGTTGTCGGAACCACTCGCAGCAAGCAAAGTCGTCAGTGAGTGAGTGAGAGAATATTAACGTCGCACTGATTAGCAACACGAGGGCTTTTGGCGACGGTCCGCGTAATTTTGAACCATGGTCAAGTGACGCGGACGACACCTGAGCTGGCACCCCCCTCTCCTAACTACCACACCACACCAACGGGAGGACGTTTGAGCTCTCGACAGATTTAACGTGCATCGCTCCCCTACACGGCGGATCTTTAGTGGTACTAGGATCGAACTCATGACACGCTAGCCATGATCTGATGCCTAGACCACTCGGCCACGCAAAGTCGTCAGACTCACTTGACGAAGTCGTTAGACGCACTTGGCGCAGCAAAGTCGTCTGACTCACTTGACGCAACAGTAACACGCTCGCCATAACAACAAATATCTCGTCCGTTCGCCTATCCACCGACTCACTGGGGGCAATAGATAAATCAAGCACAATAGATAAATGTGCAATTCACTCTGTAAGTATAACATACCAGTGATAGTGACATATATCCATTAAATGCTTTAAAAGTAAAATTTTGCTTAAATCTTTTTTTTAAGTCTGATTTTATTTTTTCTTCGCAAACAGAGAGAGAAGCTGACTTGAAGTTAACTATTTATTAATAATTTTAGAAGCAGCATGAACGCAGTATACGAATGTAAGAGGAATTTGATATCGAATCAGAAATAATAATCTGTACATAAAAATAAACTAGTTTAAAAGAATTGGAAAAACATCCTTTTATAGTTAATTGAACTAAGTTGTACAACTTAAACTTTTAGTCGCCAAATCTGGAGATGGGATTTGAAATTAATCGCTAGATGCAGGATGGGATCTGAAAACGGGAAATCGTTAATTCTGATGATCCTGACCAAGACAATGGAAAAAATTATTAAATTGTTATATTGTCATCTATCCTGGACATGTGAGTAAAATTTCGAATTAATCTGATCTAGTGGGTAAACATTGAGTTCAAAGATTCCGTTACACGCAAGTGAAGCTTATAAAAGGTTTTTAATAAAAGACAATACCCTCAGATCAAGGGCACTAAACTTGTCTGTTTATTTAAAAACATTCGACTCAATGATACATTCTTCAACAAGGGCTACATCAGCATCAAATATTCTAATATTTGGAAAAAAAATTGGATAACAATGAGCGTGTCGTAAGGTGGTTAGTTTATATAAATATCCAAAAAAGGTTTACCTCGCACATTCCTGACTACAATAGAACAAAGTCAATGTTTTGAGGCAACACGTGGCTTATTTTAGCAAGGATACGAAGGTGTCGGCTAATGGTGATGAAGAAGAATTCCGCATTATGGTTCCTTCACGCCGAAGAAACCACAACCGGCATTCCAGAAACCATTAGTAACGGTTGCAGGAAGGTTTTTTTGTGTTGGAACGAAAGTGTTCGAAACCGTGCTTTGTTGATGATGCCGCCCGGGAAACGTTCCAAATCGCTTCCTGCTTTGACCACTGGTGAGGGTGGGGATAAAAGCAGACAAATAAATGGTTGGTAACCTTCGAGAAGATTCTAAAGGAATTTAAACGCCTTTCAATAAGGATATTTTATTATGTCACGTGTCCTTTCGCTTCTTTTGTCAATGAGTTCATTGGATGAAGGTGAAAAGTTGCGTTGAGTAGTTTTTTTACGGTAGAAGATATTATGAGAATAAAAGAAAAACGGTGCATTTTGACCAAAAAGCGAAGAATGCTTACTAGAGAGCGAGTCAGATTTGATTTCAATGTTATTGTTACGAACAGTTCTTGTAACCTTCGTTTTTGTGCGTATTTTTTTTAAAAAAACGAACCAACAAAGTAAATTAATTATTAATTGATATTTCAAGGATTATATTATTGAAAATTTGTTTTCTTGCATTTATTCATTTTTCGAGAACCTTATACTTGACTGTAAAAATAATAAAATAAATCACTTATGAAATCATAGTCTTGTATTTGTTGAGTGATGTTTCCATCCTATCAAAATTTTCAAAGTAGAATTAAGTAAATTCACCTATTAGATATAAATTATATATAATTATATAATTCATATATAATCCATGTATAATATATACTTATAATATATGATAATAAATAATAATAATTTTATACTTTTATATTACATTTATTGTCAATTTTATAGGAAATAATACCCTAGATCATATATTACTTTTATCATCTAATCGAAATATAAAAATATGAATATTCATCATAAATAAACGCAAGTAACATATATGCAACTGTTAACTAAAATAAATCAATTGTTAATTTCCAAAACCATCCTTAAAAAACCGCCACCTGTCCTTGAAATGAAATAAATAAAAATTAATGGCTGAGACTTTTAAATGGGTTAAATACATGTGACATCATAGTCACATGATAAATGCAAACACGCGTTTCCAGCTAATCAGTTCTTGCACTTCGCTGTTGCTAACTTTTGCTTTTTTCAGAAACTTTTCTTGAAAAAAGCTCGTATTTGTCAGCAATAACACACTTAAGTGAGCAAAATACATTTGACTTAATTAATAAAGCTCTGTGACCGTAGCCTCCAGCGTCATCGAGTAGAGTGACTTTAGTCTTGGCAAACATATGAGGATGCGTCAGTACCGCATGGGTCTGGTCAGATGTTTCCCTAAGGACCGAAATACTGGCGGAGTGCTCATAATCTCCATCGATCATCAAGTGATACAAACAAATTTCACAAGTCATTATGCTTTAATATTTCACTAAATTTTTTTTTGTTGCTGTTAACTAGTAAAGTGTTTATATACAAAGTAAAAACATATCGTAAAAATAGCTTAGTATGTGTATATATAAGAAAAAAATACTTCGACGACGTGCACACATCTTGTTTTGATTCCGAGATACTACTAGAAATCTCTATCATAGACAGTGTTGACTAAAGGAGGAACTTATACGAGGTATTTTACTTTGTATTTCATGGGATGCAACCGGTCTTAAATTTGTTTTTGCTGTTCAGCCTTCACAAAAAATTATGAAACTTTTGTATCACATGTGGTACAAGGAAACCGAGGAGGTTATGATTTCCTTTTACAAAAGTAAAAGAGCCTGAACTAAATTCTGAACACATTTTCAGACTCAAAAAATATCTCAATTTACACGAAACTACGTGACGCTGTAATTCATATATTTCTGTTGTAATACCGTGACCCCAAGTTTATTTAATTCATGGGTAGCGAGAAAGATGACATAGCTTTGGTAAAATGTTAATTTTTTACAAACTGAAGTAAAAATGGACACCTTTGTTATGGTATGCATCAGTACGATATATTACAACTTTAGCTATTAGTTACTTGTATCAGCACACACGTTTCACTGGTCTTCAACTGGATATCATGATATCCAGGATCCATCCAAAATGGGGTTTCTAGTCGGTCACTCACAACTCTAGATGAGCTTCCTACTATCCCAGAACGCTGGAATGAATCTTTCGCTGCCCCGCAGCCTTTCGCTGGCGAAAATTCAAGTCCTGTCCAGGACATCCCTCTGTCTATCAGCTTTTCGCAGATTTTATATTCCTGGTCTCGCAGAAGTCCACGGTCACCTTCCAACCCATCTCTTTAACTCCCCCCACCCCCGGGTGGTCCTCTTTCACGCCCCCAATAATTCGTGATTTGTAGGAACACGAGTCTGCACCCGGCACCCTCCGTCTTGGAATCAACCATAATTTGTTCTTCAGGGACAAAAGTCTGTCTGGACTGAGATCCT